TTAAGCATGCAGGGGCAAGTCAAGACAATCTTTGTACGACTTGCTCAACACTGGAAGTGAATCTGAGCAATTCTATCTGTAAAAAATAAAGTATCTTGATGCAAGAAATGCCATACAGTGAATAAAATGGAGCTCTTCCGTTTTCACTCCAAGGCTCTCTGCCTCTCTGTTTCATCAAATCAAATTTTTATTTTACTCATTGAGTAGCACACCAGCACACTATACCCCATAAAATGATTAGAATAGTCAGAGAAACACTGCTTAACTATAAATGCAGGCAAACAACAAAATAATGGAGTATGTTCATTTCTACTAACACTATACCTCTTAATTAAGACTAAATCAACAATTAACAATTAACTAATCATTGTTATTGTTAGTACTAACACTGTATTTATTTATTGATTAAATTCATTGGCCGCCCATATTCCACAGGGGCTATAAACTAGTGGTTAAAACTATTACCACTATGGGGCTATAAACTAGTGGTTAAAATTAAAGTATTAAAATAGGATGGGATTTTGTATAAATGCCAGCAATAAAATTTTAGAGTATTAGTTGTTTCACACAATATACTAGACCAAAATGTGATTAACAATTTGTAGCTCTGTATATGTATCGTAAGTATCCAGTTCAGTACGTTTTCTGAATATAGCCCCTATAGGCTAATTATTTATGGATTAGCATACGGGTGTCAAACTCGCTGCATCACATGACGTGTCGTGACGTATCGCAACTTTTTTTGCATTGCTGGGGCAAGTGTGGCCTCCACATGATGCAGTTTGACACCCCTGGATTAGCATGTTGAGCAAATATAGATACTGGTGAGATTACAATGAAACATAACTAATACACAAACCCTTGTTCAAAGCATCCCGAGCTCCATGTTCAATTCAAGAAAGCAAGTCTTATTTAAGAGTCTAATGATCTAACAATGTAGACACTAGCATTATGCAATTTCAATTCACTTTATTGTGTAGTCAAAGACTAGCATGAATAATAAACAAAATACAATTTAAGACAGAAGTAAAATGCATTTGAAAACAATCTAACGATCCAGGGTAGTCTATATTAAATGATAATGTAAAGCAGGGGTCTTCAAACTTGGCCCTTTTATGACTTGTGGACTTCAACTTCTAGAATTCCTCAGCTAGGCACGCTGGCTGAGGAATTCTGGGAGTTGAAGTCCACAAGTCATAAAAGGGCCAAGTTTGATGACCCCTGATGGAAAGAATAAAATTATATTAAATATGATAATGTGTAAAATGACTATAAAGTATTGAAAAGTGTTAATATCAATGAAGTAAAAATATCTAAAATTTAAGTGAATTAGAGTTTTAAGGAATGGATTGTGGGATACTAGCATTGTGCTAGGTTGAGCCAGCGTCACAGTTAACACAGGGCTTTTCAACCAATGGTACAGGTACCACCTGTGGTACATTGGCACCTGGCAGGTGGTATGCAACCATCTGAGAAAAGTGGTAGTGGGTGGGCGGAATGAGCTGAACCAGTGGCAGCACCGCACAAGCCTGAGTGAGAGATGGCTGGAGCTGCAGGGCTGTCAGGGCTCAGCAGAAGCACCAGGATTAGTGCCGCTTTCCAGCTGATCAGCGCTTCTTTGGGACTGTCAGGGCTCAGTGGAAGCGCCAGGATCAACACCAGGCTCCAGCTGGAGCTCAGTGCTGATCCTGGTGCTTCTGCTGAGCCCTGAAGAAGCACCAATCAGCTGGAATGTTACAGCATCTCCAGAGTCTTGTGATTTACATTCAGATGTTTGGTAACTGATTCATATTTATGACGGTCACAGTGTCCCAGCAGATGGGAATAAAAACCAAACACCCCCACCCCACCCCTGCTGCCAATCCTCAACAGAAATGCTCACAACAATGAAACAGGAAGAGCGCCGCCGGGTGGGCAGGCAGGTGTCTTGCTCGTCTGTGGCTTGGGGGGCACTTTTTTCAGTGCCATTGTAACTTCGAACAGTCACTAAGCACACTGTTGTAAGTCGAGGACTACCTGTACTTTATTACTTTTTTCTTTTTTTTTTTTTTTTTGGTCATCAAGTTTTTGACACCTTGCTAGGCGACTGGTGGTTCTCGGATGTTGCCATACCCTAAAAGAGGTACAATGGGTGAAAAGGTTGAAAAGCCCTGACTTAATAAACCAAAGGACTAAGACGGGTCCGGCAACTATGGCAACCATGGCAATTTTTGGACTTCAACTCCCAGAGTTCCTGAGTCAGCTAGCATGTTTGTACACAGGTCATAAAGGAGCCATGTTGCCCACCCCTAGACTAAGATCTACTCCAAACAAAGAATGTGAGAAGTCCAGTCCCATGGAGTCAGAGCTCTGTGGAAAAAAACTACTTGGCCTTTTCAAGGACATGCGTCCTCATTTCAATATGCCAACTTTTCAGTTTATATATAGTCCACATTAGAAGGCTGTCTCTTTAAGCCTTCCATCAAGCAAGTATTAAATCCTGGGAGGAGTGATTTGGTTGTAGAGACACAAAAGCCTTCACTGCATTCTGAGTTTGTTGGAACAAAATGCAACCTGGAAGGTAATTGCTAGCTCATTTGTGATAGTAAGTTTAATATTCTTAGGACTGATCATTTTTTTATTTAAATATGCTAATTAATATAGCTAGCAAGAATCAGTTTGTTCTCTTTTGCTTCTTTTAAAAGTTGGTCTTAGGTGTCAAGTATGCTGGACCAGCCTTAGTTCTGCCATATGGCATTGCCTGTTTCTCCATTCTGGTAGCTGCTTTAATGAAACATGGGCTGAAGGCAATTTGATTCTTAAAACAGCAACATCCTTTTTTTTCCCGGGTTGCCTGAAAGCCCGAGAAAAAAACCGAGCTCCTTTCATTAATAGTTGAGAGCTTGCAGAAGATCTGAAATATGTAATTGCTAAAGTGTGCACCGGCCTCTTAATTAATGGCTGCTTTATCATTCCTAATGAATTTTATGAGCCATGATGGCAAAGGCAGAAAATTAATGGGAAAACAGTCTCCCAAAAGACAGAAGAGGGAGGAAAACAAAGAGGATCAGACTGCAGCTTTAAGTATTATTGCACTGTAATGTTCAGACATATCCCCAACCCTCTCCACCCCTTCTATATCTATACAATAATAAACACGTATGAGAAAAGTGTGGGTTAAGTTAGTTTTCTCTATGCAAGAGCTCTTTTTATGAAAGGAGAACAATTTGAGCACCTGCTTAGCCAGCACGTTTTGCATACAGGTAATCCTTGGCTTATGACCAGTTGCTAAGTAACTGTTTGAAATTATGATTGGTTTCCCTGGGTGTGTTCATAACCAAGATTCAAAGTTCTGACAACCTTCCTTCACCCAGTTGCACTTTGGGGCATTCAGCAACTGGCCTGCATTTACAGCTGTTTGCAGCAACCTGCCATTACATGACCAAGCTTTATGATGTTCTTGTAAAAAACAGCATTTATTTCTGTTTCTTTCTTCTTTTTTGCAAAAACACAGCATAGGAAACCCTGGGTTCACTTAATGATCACCTTGTTTGCTTAAGCCAGGGATGGGGAACCTTGGCTCTTTTATGACTTGTGGACCTCAACTCCCAGAATTCCTGAGCCAGCATGGTTGGCTCAGGAATTCTGGGAGTTGAAGTTCACAAGTCATAAAAGAGCCAAGGTTCCCCACCCCTGGCTTAACCACAGCATTTGCTCAATGATCACTGCAAGAAATCGGGTTGATCATATGAGGTGATCTGACTTAACAACCATCATGATGGGCAGGCTCCATTATGGTCATAACTTGAGGGCTACCTGTACTTTCGTTTTGTTGTTTTATGCCGCTTAACTCTGAATTGCAAAGAAATAGGCTTGTATTTTTTGATAGATGCCTAAATCAAGGACATGCCCCACAGCCATCTTCAAAATGAAACCCTAGCCATCAAAGAGCTAGACAAGACCACTTTTCCTAGACACAAAAATTAAGATATATGCATTACACTAGGTCAAAATATAGTCAGTTTGTGGTTTAACATACTATGCCACACCAGCCCTTGTGATACACAAGGCATGGTTTGTGGCCTGAGAGTGTGAACTTAGCCCCTATAAATCAATGAACATGTGACCAAAGGGATAGTTTCAAAGTCATAGTACCACTTTATATTGCACTGGTGAGGCCACACATGGGATACTGCGTCCAGTTCTGGTCACCACGATACAAAAAAAAAGATACTGAGACCCTAAAAAGAGTGCAGAGAAGAGCAACAAAGATGATTAGGAGTCTGGAGGCTAAACTGTATGATGAACGATTGAGGGAACTAGGGAGCTCACTCAATCCTTCATCTAGTCTAACGAAGAGAAGGACAAAGGGTGATATGATAGCAGTCATCAAGTACTTGAGGGGCTGTTACAGAGAAGAGGGGGTCGACCTATTCTCCAAAGCACCTGAGGACAAGACATAACAGATGGAAGATCATTAAAGAGAGATCCAACCTAGAACTAAAAATAAATTTCCTGACAGGGAAAATAATTATTCAGTTGAATGGTTTGCCTGTGGGAGTTGTGGGTGCTCCATCACTGGAGACTTTCAAGAAGAGAAATGGATAGACATTTTGTCCAGAATGCATGAGCAGGGGGTTGGACCTTTTGGGCAACAGGGACCGGTTCAATGGAGAAAGGTTTTTCCATGGACCGGAGTGGGTGTGGTTTTGTGTGCTGCCTGCATTCCATGGATGGGGCTTTGCCTGTTTGTGTGGACCGGTTGCTGGCATGCCACGGCCTGGTACCAGTCCACGGACTGGGGGTTAGGGAACCCTGGACTAGAAGAGTTCTCAGATTCCTGCTAACCCTGTTATTCTATGTTCTATATCAGGATGAATGCAAATCACAGCTGACCATAATGTGTGAGGCCAGCAATTATCCAAGAAAAGGCTTGAATGCATGTGCATTTATTTATTTGTCCCTCAGCCCAAAGGGAAGATGTTCAATCCATTCTATCTTCTCTTTCTTTCTTTCTGCAGGACAACCTCTCCTGAAAAAGATAAACTAATCCCAGACGCTGCTTTCCATAACGCTGAGGAACCACAGGACAAGGAAAGTTTCATTTTCCCTCCGTGGGGGAACTTTCTCTGTCAAACTGTTGAAAAATAGATTCTTTTCCCATGGATAAAATTCTCACATTGTCTCAAAATATATGGGAACTGCTGCACCGCTTGAGGATGAAGAGCAAGTACGCCATTCTTCTCATCTTTGTAGTAGCCCTTGTCGTAATTGAGAAGGAGAACAACATCATCTCAAGGTAGGGGGGGAGGAAAAGAGGCTGTGCCAGAAAAAAGGCTTTCTTGGTCTTCTTCTCTGGCCTTCAGGCTGCACATGAGCTTTCCAGTCCCAACTTGCTACCACCAATTCACCAGTCTTTTGGAACCAGGTAAATATTAACATTCCCCAGTCTGAATTAAGTTGCAGCCAGATGACTCTCTTATAAGCATGGACCGAGATCAATTATCAGTCAGTAATGCTTTATTCCTCAGGCCAAAGGGAACGAATAGGAATATGAATACTCACTCACTCACTCACTCACTCACTCACCCACTAACCAATGAATAAAATATATATTGAATATAATATGTTGTTAATTGCGAAGTTGTGTCTGACCCATCGCGACCCCATGGACAACGTTCCTCCAGGTCTTCTTGTCCTCTACCATCTTCTGGAGTCCATTTAAATTCACACCTATTGCTTCAGTGACTCCATCCAGCCACCTCATTCTCTGTTGTCCCCTTCTTCTATTGCCCTCAGTCTTTCCCAGCATTAGGCCCTTCTCCAGTGAGTCCTTCCTTCTCGTTAGATGGCCAAAGTATTTGAGTTTCAACTTCAGGATCTGGCCTTCTAAAGAGCAGTCAGGGTTGATCTCCTCTAGGACTGACCGGTTTGAACGCCTTGCAGTCCAAGGGACTCACAGGAGTCTTCTCCAATACCATAGTTCAAAGGCCTCAATTCTTTGTCGCTCAGCCTTTCTTATGGTCCAACTTTCACATCCATACATTGCAACTGGGAAAACCATGGCCTTGACTATACGCACTTTTGTTGGCAGGGTGATGTCTCTGCTTTTTATTATGCTGTCTAGATTTGCCATAGCTTTCCTCCCCAGAGCAAGCATCTTTCATATAGTCTTTTATATAATATAGAAACTAACTAACTAACTAAATCACTTGTACAGAACCGTAACATCTGGCTGAGATCATGTACCACAAGCACGATTGGTTAAATAAGCCACAGGATTTGTATAACAAATTCTGGGTTAAAAGGACAGATCCTCAAGGAAATGCAAGTCCTACCACAGGTAGGAATTAATCAGCATTAAGCTATCTAGGTTAGACTTTGTAGGTCTCTACCTGAAGAAATAATTGGTATTTTTTTTTAAAAAAAAAGAATAAAACTTGTATTTACATTATTTTTCTATGTACTGTACATCTTTACTTTTTTGATTCAGATTCTGTGAATGAATACATAATTTTATTTGGCAAGAATCTATCTGCAATGTTAATCTAGGGCTACATGTAGACAGGCCCTTCAAACTTAACAATGATCATCTAAATTACTAAAAGAAGCATTATGGTAAATTGTTTATGGTACCAGGACTGAATTTTTAGGATATTTATACAATCAGAAGCAATAATAATATATTATAATTACAAGTAATTATAGGAAAAGTATTTTCATACTTTCTTGCTACTACCGACACACATTAAAGAATCAGTTTATAAGGCTACAGCTGGTCCTTGCAAGGCAGTAATCTGGAATGGCAATTGTCATTGTGTACAAACAGGATTGAAAAGCTTCAGAATGTCCTAAAATGTTGGCAGGATCTTTTGAGAGATTATCAGATTTCAACTGAAGAATTAGATACTATAGAATCCCATTAAAAGCAACAATTTGTTGCTATATCTTGTTTAGAAGTGTGCTATAAATACATTGAATTTAATCTGTGATCTGGGCCACATTTGTTATGATAAGCACCCACACATCTATAGCCGTCTTACTGTAAATGAAAAATCTCCTTAAGACAGTATTGCTCAACCACGGCAACTTTAAGATGTGTGGACTTCAATTCCCATAATTCCCCAGCCAGCAAGGTTGTGAAAGACTAAGAAATACTGAGTTAGATGGACATTTTTGCTTATTTTTCCTCTGTGACCTTTACATTTTGGAAAATTTCATCATCCCATTCCCAGAGGATCATCTGACTTGTATTCTTTTCCACCAGGCTCAGGACATGTATAATGCACCTTGCTGAAGTTCATTTGAGATCCTGAGAAAATCAGCACAGCCACTGATTCTTGTGGCCAATCTTGTGTTCCCAGCTAAGACCGACTGTGGACAAGATCTATTTCCTTGAATCCTTTGAACCACTATTTTACAAAAACAGAATCCAGGTTCAGAGAATTCAAACAGGATAAAGCAGCTGTTCTCAACCTGTGGGTCGCGATCCTTTTGGAGGTCGAATGACCCTTTCACAGGGGTCGCCTAAGACCATCGGAAAACACATATTTCCGATGGTCTTAGGAACCAAGACACCGCTCTGCATCCGTCTCTGCATGGCCTTCTCCGCCATTTGCAGAGAGAGAGACAGAGAGGCACTTTCACTTCCCTTCTCTCTCTCTCTCAGGCGGCCTTACCTCCTGCAGGGCTCCTGATTGGCCCTGCGCCCGGGTACCACACCCATTGGGAGAAGTGCAGCCAGGGCCTTCAGCTATAGAATTGCGGATTTTCACGATAAAACCTGCCTTTCACTCTGCAGGAATCACTTCTTGCCTTCAAAACAGAGAAGGGCCAACCAAGCAGGAGCGATGGACGTAATTTCAAACTAATGAGTTGTTTACATGCCTGCTGAGCCCGAACCGCCCCCCCCCACATACAAATACTCCGGAGCGTCTCTGCCTCACACCCACAACAGAACCAACACACCTGCTGATGCTCGCAGTTGTCAATAACACCTCCAGCAGCCTCCAGGCCTTCCGAGGCTCCAGCCTTCCTACCCTGGGCTTTGGGGGCAGAGTTCATAGGGAAGTGGAAAGCACAGCGCAGGCCAGCCCTGCTGCTGAGCTCTGGCTATGGCCTTCTGGAGCAATGGGCTGTGGCTTCCCTCCATGTCGCTGCCGAGCGTGGCCCCTTCTCGCCTGACTCTCCCTGCGACGCTCCCTCCCCTGGCGGCCTCTCAACGGACAGGCTGGCCTGCTACTGGCTTCGAGAAAAGCAGCTAGGTGAGGTTCCGCAAGGCGGAAAACTGCAGCTGGCCCAGGAACAGGGCGGGGAGGCGAGGCCGGAGCATGGCAAGTTTGACATGGGGGCGGCGGCGGGAGGGAGCGCCGAGGGGCAGCCAGGTGGCTCTTCTGAAGGTCCCGGTGGCGCCTCTCAAGCAACCCAGGAGGACCCTTGGCCAGGCCAGGCAGGAAGGTTGCCCCCTCCAGTCGGGGCATCCAGGAAGCTTTGGCTCCTCCTCATTGTGGGCCACTTCAGCCTCTCGCCCGCAGTCTTGCCTTGCCGGGGGCCCAGAACTTGCAGACTCCCGTGACTTGCCGCTGCTCCTGGCAACTGGACTTAGCCCACACGGCGGCAAGGCCTGGCACCCAACCAAAGTTTCCATATGCGCGGAGAAATGCGCTGGGCCACGCAACTGGCAGAGGCGGCTGCTCCCGCTCTCGCCGCCGCTGCCCGGCCCAAATCTGCTCAGGGCAAAAGAGGCGGCCTCTATCCAGCACATGGAACTCCTGTGTGTCCCAAACCCCCCCATTCTCGAGAGAAGCCGCTGCCTCCCATCCTGCTCCCCCTCCCCACCCATTCGACTAAGGACACGGCAGAGGCCGGGCCAGGGGCAGCGGGGACCTCCAATGATGCCGCCGTAAGAGAGAGAGAAACAGAGAGAAACAGAGGAAAAGAGAGAGGAAACAGAGAAAGAGAAAGGGAGGAAACAGAGAAAGAGAGAGAGAGGAAAGAGAAAGAGAAAAAGAGGAAAGAGAGAAAGAGAAATGGGAGAGGAAAGAGAAAGAAGAGAGGAAAGAAAGAGAAAGAGGAAAGAGAAAGAGGGAGGAAAGAGAGAAAGAAAAAGAGGAAAGAGAAAGAAAGAGAGGAAAGAGAAAGAAAGAGAGGCAAGAAAAAGAGAAAGAGGGAGAGAAATGGCGCTTCTCCAATCAGGCTGGGTGGAGCCGGCAGAGCGGCATTCCTGCCACCCCTCCCCAGCCAGCTGAATGGGGGGTTGGGGGTCACCACACATGAGGAACTGTATCATTAGGAAGGTTGAGAACCACTGGGATAAAGGATCAAATCAATATTGTGTTCCCTTTTCTTGAAATTAAAGAATGTTTGCTTTTCACTCCCTGTGGACCTTGATAGACTCCCAGCTCCAAATTCATGGCATATTGTATATTGGTGAGGCCCAAGCTGTGTGAGTGTTTCCAGTGTGTTTTTTTATGTACACACACACATGCTCACCATCAAGGGAATAGTACACTAACAAGGCCAAAGAATTTGAGAAACCACATTCAGTCTGCATCTTCTTGCACAAACTCTTGGCTTTTGATCTGGATTCCAAAGCCAGCCATAGATTTCTTTCCAGGGGATGATACTACTTATCCACACTAACTGAATTCCTGGATATAGAAGGGATGAATGTGATCCTTAGATCAATGTTTCTCAACCTTGGTAACCTTAAGATGCGTGGACTTCAACTCCCAGAATTCCCCAACCAACATGCTGGTTGGGAATTTCTGGGAAACACACACATCTTAAAATAGCCAAAGTTGAGAAACACTGATCACTGTGCTAGGTTCCTTGCAGGCCAGAGAGATCCTGTAGAACAAAGGTCTTCAAAGTTGACCCTTTTATGACTTGTGGACTTCAACCCCCAGAATTCCTCAGCCAGCATGCCTGGCTGAGGAATTCTGGGAGTTGAAGTCCACAAGTCATAAAAGGGCCAACTTTGAAGACCCCTGCTGTAGAAGATATCAGTTGTTTCTCAGCAAGACGATTGAGAGGGGAAGGTGATTCTGAAGGCAGAAGCACTTGGCTTGGATTAAGAAAACTGTTCATTCCATCTCAAAATAACATGCCTGCTATCTCTTTAAATATCACTGCTGTTATTAGTCCCAATGATTGTATTCTTTCTCTTTACAGGGTTTCAGACAAACTGAAGCAGTCTCCACAGTCCCTGCCAGAAGCCAATAGCACTGATTCTGGATTGATGCTGCCAGAGAATGGCTCCCTCTTGTCACTGAGCTCACTGGACTTGGCCTTCTCCCAGCTTAAGCACCGGTTGCAGAACCTCACTTTGCAGCTTGGTAGCACTCTGCTGGCCCCCACTAAAAGGACACGAAAACATGTTCTCCTAATGGCCACCACACGTACTGGCTCTTCCTTTGTAGGGGAATTCTTCAACCAGCAGGGCAACATTTTCTATCTCTTTGAGCCACTGTGGCATATAGAAAGGACAGTATCTTTTGAATCCGGGGGTGCTAATGCAGTGGGATCGGCCCTTGTCTACAGAGATGTTTTGAAGCAGCTGTTCCTCTGTGATCTTTACATTTTGGAAAACTTCATCATCCCATTTCCAGAGGATCACCTGACTCAATTTTTGTTTCGCCGTGGTTCGAGTCGCTCTTTGTGTGAGGAGCCTGTTTGCACCCCCTTCGTCAGGAAGGTCTTTGAGAAGTACCACTGCAAAAACCGCCGCTGTGGCCCCCTGAATGTGACTCTGGCAGTGGAATCTTGCCTGCAGAAGGAGCACTTGGCCCTTAAGGCTGTCCGAATTCGACAACTCGAATTCTTGCGTCCATTAGCTGAAGATCCCCGCCTGGACTTGAGGATAATTCAGTTGGTACGGGATCCTCGTGCGGTGCTGGCCTCCCGCATGGTGGCTTTTTCGGGTAGGTATGAAACCTGGAAGAAATGGGCTAACGAAGGTGTAGCAACTCTGAATGAGGATGAGGTCCAGAGATTGCGAGGCAACTGTGAAAACATCCGACTCTCAGCTGAACTCGGTTTAAAGCAGCCAGCATGGCTTCAAGGTCGCTACATGCTGGTTCGCTATGAGGACATTGCCAGGTCTCCCCTCCAGAAAGCCAAGGAGATGTATAAATTCACTGGCATTGCTCTCACTACACAGGTGGAGGACTGGATCCGGAAAAATACACAGGCCCCTCAAGATAGCAATGGCATCTACTCCACCCAGAAAAACTCCTCTGAACAATTTGAGAAGTGGCGATTCAGCATCCCCTTCAAACTTGCCCAGGTGGTACAGAACGTCTGCACACCAGCCATGAACCTGTTTGGCTACAAGTTGGCCAACAGTGCTGAGACTCTTACAAACAGATCCATCAGCTTGCTAGACGAGAGGAGGACTTTCTGGATCACATAAAAGGTTGACTTCATTGGTGGATTTTTTTTCAATCATAGCATTCTGTGAATTGAGAAAGAGAGAATGCAAGAATCTATATATTGAGGAAGGAGCACATGGGCAGGAAGTGTTGGGGGAGAAGCCATCTTTGGTTGTTTTGCTTCCACTTGTCTTGACCGTTCAAGAGCTTTTGGCTTTATCTGAAAGCAAGCATCACTTTCTGGCATATTTGACATTTCCAGGTGGATTATAATGGGACCACAGACACTGGCATAAGGAAGCATTCTGAAGCTATCACAGAGTAGAAGATTAAACCCTGCTTCCCTACCTCATGTCCACATCCTTTCTCTTGGAAATGTTGTCTCTCACCTTCACCAAACATCCAAAGAGAGTGAATGTTTTATATTTAAAATAAATTTATCACCTGGAAGAAAAACATGGGCTTCTCAACCTGCAGAGAAGCTGTGAGAGAAGCAGAATGTTGCACTGATCTCATCTAAGGCAGCCTTAAGGAATCTGTCAACCAGATATTTGGGAAGGGAAGGAAAAAAATTTATTTAGCACAACTGACAGCGAGAAAGCTGACTCTCCATGTGTAGACAGAGCATGTTTTGTACACATTCTCCCTAAAATCCTCAGATAAATTGGGGCCTTGCTTAAACTGAGGAGGTGTTACTGGGGAAGAGAGATGCATGGCATAGAACAGAAGTGGCTCTACCTATAAGTGTAAGGAGACTTTGGGCTACACACAGTTTTATGCACTTAATATTGTTTTTATCCTGCCAACTCACTCAGTGCTTTGAGAGATTTAAAGCAAACCAGCAATGAAATATTCTAAGAGAAACAAACTGGAACAATAGTCATCTTCCATCTGTGGACATGAACTTTTCCTTGTTGTGCTTTCTTTTGTCTGCTTTTCTTGCTTATCTCTGAATCAGTTGCACCAACCTTCATCTGATGTCTGGGATACTAAAGTGAAGAGAATGCTGCTTTCTCATCCAATGAAAGAAAGTTGTGGCTTTAATTGTATTTTGACTTGGTCAAGAGGAAGGCAACAAAAATGACAGAAACAGAAACAGGCTCTCTGGTTGCCAATCTAAAATTCCTCTGACTAATTTTTGTTTAAGAGTTTTGGTTGTTATATTCATTATCTGTTTCCAGTGCTGGATCTAGCAGCAAACATCTAATGAATTTTACTTAGCTGTTCATCAGAAGCACTTAACATGGTAGAAGGTATAACCTGACTGTGAATTTGATATTTCATCCCACAGTGGAAACCATATCGGGATTCTGATTAAAAAAAAAAAGGACTCACTTGGGGGCAATTCAATCTGGTTTTCTCTGCACCTGGATTCCCAGGAATTTTGTTGGAATGGTAACATTTTCAACACATTCAATTTTGGGAAATGTTGACATGGATTATCACGCCTCACTTTGAATTAATAAATGGATAGATTAATATCAGGGACTGAACAGACATATAACCATAAAGAATGGTAGTTTCATTAACAATCAGAGTCAAGTGTGATTGTCTGGCAGTGCTAATTTAACACCTAACCAAACACCCCACCCTCCACCCCCCATTTTCTTATCTGTAGTGAGAAGATTTAATGCTCCAGCTGTTTTTGTTGAACAAAACAAAAAAGACAGTCATTTAAATAACTACTACTTTTCTTCTTTTCCATGGAGCACTGCAGTGAATAAGCGACCACATTTGTTTTGATCCAGTCAAAGTAACAGAGATCAATATGACCATCATTTGGTTTCATGGCACTGTCTGAGCAGGAATGAGCTTTGATGTGTCAATATTATGTGTCAAGAGTATGCCTTTCCTCTCTTGTTTCCTGCAAGAAAGAGTACCAGTTTCCAAACAGCATATGATAATGCAGGTTTAACTCTGAATAAACAGTTCTGATATACCATTAGCTTCCTCCAAGGTGCTGGCCAAAATTAGAACTTTAAGGCTGTATAGCCCCACTGGATGTCTGAATTGCAGACAAAGCTGGATTGTCTATAAACAAAGTTATCAAGAAGAAAAAAAAAGATGGAGCATCAGCTAACATTCCCACAAGTGATTCCAGTTACACTTATGATTTGCTTTTCCAGTTTAATATTTCACTCGTGGTATTTCAACTGGTGCCATGATTACATGATTCATAGTGTGTCAACTTACCCTCAAATATAACTCATAGCAGTCTTTCAGTTAGTTGTCCCATCTCGGTTAACCCATTGCCAAAGATGCACCGTCCCCTTGCACCACATGGATGCTCTTGCACATACCTTTTTGTCTCCGACAAGCCTTTTCATATCCCTCTGTAACCTTGGATAAGCTGTTTCAGAACTATATCCAATTCTCTTAATGGAAGTGTATTGAAAAATTCTGACTATCCTCCAGAAACATTCTGTATTTACTACGCTGTAGTGTTTTCCTTTTGCAGTGGACTGTTCTTACCTTTCTCTCCTTAGTGGTGATGGTGGTAGAGCTGCAAAATGTATCTTAATTTTGTTATGATTATTTATGTGAAAGAGCTAGGACTGGATAGAGAAAGCCACAACCTCTTGCCTTATTTTGAACTTTCTATTCTTTTCTTTTTGAAAACTGTGAACTCTGCAGTTCATTAATTTATTTATTGTATGGAGAAGATAACAGTTGCTTTCTTAGAAGGAATCAAAACTGCACAAAAATAAAAACAATTTTCCCAAGAATCAGAAGTCTAATTCAGTGACATTAAGATGGCTGTAGCTAAATATCATGCACTTATGTTTTTCTTTTTTAAAATGCAACTGCTTTAACTTGAAGAAAGATTCTATTTAAAGGAAGGAACAGGATAGGAAACAATTTCCTGTATAACCTTAGAGCAGTAAATAACACTGTCTTGGAAACAGATTAGAGAAGCAATATGCTGTCCTAACTCTATCTTCTGGATCCTCTGTTCAACATAAACTTTTTTTTTGCTGCACAGAAATAAATGATTTGTTATTTCCCATAAAAAGAAAAAACACATAGTTGCAATCGCATCAACATTTTAAAGAAAGTATGCCCAATGTAATGCATATAATATTCTTTTATTCTTAAAAAAACACCTTAAAATTTAGTGAAATGTTGAAGTAAAGAACAATAGTGTGTACAGTTTTATTCTACCAGCATCAAAACTCAAACACACATTTCTGTGTTGAAGCCAACAGGCCTTACGTATCCCTACACTTGTGAGGTTTGTGGTCAGAGTCTATTTATCCTTCCCGTATGAGGGATTGGTTGGTCTGAAATGAAATGATCTGTGTTTTGTATACAATTTCACATGCAATTGGCAGTTTGCAGCCAGAATCTAGGCTGTATCTTCTAACTCTGGACAGCCCTTGCTAATCCTGAAACCAATTAATTCTAATTCCCCCTTTTGCATTTTGGCAGACGTGGAAGTTTTCAGTTCTGCAAGACTGAGGGTATATTTGTAGAGATATTTATTTAAATTTATGTGGATACTATGCAGTCATACTATATGAAGTATATATGTGGGCTTCAATGCCATAATCACTGGCAGTATTCCTAATTCTGAAAAGGATGGAAAACAAGCCAATCCTGGAATCCAGTCTCCAGGTAGGAGCAGCAGGCTCATAAAGGAAGACTAGGACATTTCACCTTCCTAGAACAAGGGTATCATTCAAGGAGTAGCATATTTATTCAAGGAAGAGTTTTAAGGAAATTTAGTGAATGCATCTCCAATCTGAGAAAGAAGGAAGGAGACCTTGATCTTTTTAAATAAACAGCCATAGCTAAATTATAGCAAAGCACGTTTTCCAACATTTTCCACCACTTGTATGTTTGGACAGTTGGTGCCCTTACACAGTGTTTCTCAACCTCTGCAACTTGTAGTTGTATGGACTTCAACTCCCAGAATTCCCTAATCCGCATGAGTCCCCATCCACTACAGACACACTAGGGTTACCAGACCTGGTCTATACAAATTGGAATGAGCAGCAGATGGCAGCAAGGAAGGTTTTGTCTTATCTGATATCCATATCCTACATAATCTCCATAAGCTTTCAGAATAGTGTATAGCAGAAGTCCCCAACCTTTCGGGCACCAAGGACTGGTGCCATGGAGAAAGGTTTTTCCACAGACCAGAGGGTGTGATTTTGAATACTGCCTGCATCCCAAGGATGGAGCTTTGCTTGTTTGTGCGGCCCGCTTGTTGGCATGCTGCAGACCGATGCTGGTCCACGGACCGGGGGTTGGGGACCCCTGGTGTATAGTATACCAGTATATGGGAGGTATGGGCTTAAGCCACTGAATTCTGTGAGATGAAATCCACACATCTTAGAATTGCCGAGTATGAGAAACACTGCAATATACAAGCCACTTTCCTTTAAGAGCTGAGAGACGGGGGTACCCTTCCTTCACCCTCTTCTTGGGAGTATGGCTGGATTTTTTTTCTATTTCTACTAAGCGCATGTCCCGTTATACACACAGTCCTCGTTTTCCAACCATAATGGGGGAACCAGAATTTCCATTGCTAAGTGCCCCATTTCACAACCTTTTTTGCCACTGGAGTTAAGGGAGTTGCTGCAGTTATTAACTGAATCCGGCTCCCTTCACTGACTTGTCGGAAGCCAGCTGGAAAGTTTGCAATTGGCAGTCCCGTGATCCCAGGATGCTGCAACCATCCTGAATATATACCAGTTGTTGCCAAGCACCTGACTTTTGATCATGTGATCATGGGGGTGCTGAGACAGTCCGAAGTCCAAGGGCCAGTTGTAAGTCACTTTTGTCGGTGTTGTAATTTTGAACACTTGCTAAAGGAATGGTTGTAAGTCGAGGGACTACCCATATCCTCTATTGTATTTTGCAGTTATACTGACCACCAGGAGGCTCCAAGATCATTTCCACCCCTTATTGGGACTTTTCAGATGCAGATGCAATCCTTCTGTTCAGAGCTCTATAGCAGTCCAATGTAAACAAACTAACCTAAAGCAATTGGATTCATTATTGCTGACCTAATAGTTTCCTTCTCCATCCTTCATTAACATCTTGTCCCTCCAAACTGCACCAGTATTGCTGGGCTCTGGGAGTTATAGTGAAGCTGTCTAGTTGTGGTCAATATTCTAGGCCGGGGTCTTCAAACTTGGCCCTTTTATGATTTGTAGACTTCAACTTCCAGAATTCCTCAGCCAGCATGCCTGGCTGAGGAATTCTGGGAGTTGAAGTCCACAAGTCATAAAAGGGCCAAGTTTGAAGACCCCTGTTCTAGGCAATAAAGAGTTGATTTCTCTTACTTTAATCTGTCATTTCATTAACTCCTTTGTCCCAGTTTCTTTCTAAATCCCAAAGTGGTAACATTTTTCTATTCTCCTTTTTAAAGCCTAATCATTAAACGGGCAATACTCTGGCTGGAACAGCAGTTTCAGTTTCTTTAAAATCAGAACATCTGCAGAGAGGATATATGACATGTCACACACTTTAAAACCACAGGGTTATTCTTGTATTGAAGAAAGAATAATAAAAGAAGAAAGAAACAGCAGCCCTGCTTGGTGGCTAGAGATTGTGCCCAGCTGGTCTTTGGCAGCAAGAAATAAACAAAAGAGGCGTATTGAAATATGTCCTTCTCTCTAGGTAAATAAATATGGAAGTAGGTCTACAAAAAATGTATTAATAGCTCAACCCATGATGAACAGATTCCAATATTCAAGTCTATCAAGATTCTTCTGAACCTTGAGTCTATCATCTGTTAGCTATTTCCCCCAACTTGATGTTGTCTGCAAATTTGATAAGCTCTCCTATCTCCTCATCTAGATAATTTATGAAGATGTTGAAGAGTATTGGGCCTAAGACAGAACCACGGGATACCCCACTACTTACTTCCCTCCATGTAGATGTAGTTCCACTGAGGACTACGTGCTGAGTGTGGCTGGTCAGCCAGCTGCAAATCCTTGTGGCGAGATGGGCGCAAATTTAATAATTAATTTAAAAAATTGAGGTGATACAATCTATTCCATGTTGTTCTATCTTCCCAAGAAGTAGATTGTGGTCTACCTTGTCAAATATCTCACTGAAAACAGTAAATTATTTGCAGCATTTCCTTTTTTCCACTAATTTATGTTAGCTTCTATTGCCTTATTTGTTTCTAGGTGCTCATAATTGCACTGTTTGATTATTTTTTCCAGGATCATCCCAGGTGGTGATGTCAAGCTGATTGGCCCATCCCCCCCCTTTTTTTTGTAGATTGGAATCACATCAGCTCTTTTCCAGTCATCTAGTAGTTCTCCTGTGCTTCAAGAGCTCTGGAAGATTATGTTGTTCAGTGGTTCTGAGATTGACGTCTGCCTGCTCCTTCAGAACTCTGATGTAATTCATCTAGTCCTGGGGATTTGAATTCATCTGGAGTGGACAGGTGTTCTTTTAACATGGACTTGCCTCTTTTGACTTGTATTTTGATTCTGTCTCCTATGGTGCTACTTTTATATTGGACTTTTGGGTCCAATATAAAAATTAACGAGTGAATTTGTCAAATGGGAATTATGCATTGGATTGGTATTCTTATTTTTACATCAGAGTGGGGCAGAAACTAAAATGAAATCTCTCTGGTGTTTTCATTTGACTGATATTTTAGGCAACAAGGAAAATATATAAATGAACAATGGAGGATGCCACAGCTAGTAAAATTTATGTCATAGTTCCGACAGATGAAACTCTTCAAAGAACTTCGAGACATTGTTTACTTTAAAGAATCTTTATTTGAGTGGCATAGCATCGGCACGTACATAGTCAAAGCCAAAATATGAATTCCCTTCCCCTATGTAATATCAAAGCACAATTCCCTCCTCTAATTTACGGTCCTAAATAACATTCTCCAATTAGTTTGAAATGCAGACTTTCTCTCCAGATCTCCAACCTGCCACTTCTTATCATCTCTTATTTCAACCAACCTTGAATCACACACTACTACTGTTGTGTCCCGAGCCTGCAAAAGCAGGCTTGGGATGTTGCATTGGTCCTGGGCATTCCAAAAGCTGCCCGGGACCAGACAGAGTGGCACCAGCCTTGTGCGCATGCACATGGCGCAAAAACGCTCTGTTTCATTGATGCTGTCCGGGTTTCTGGCCATATAAAAAGGTTTGCGTGCCTTTTGTTTTTGCTTGGGTGTTGTTAGAAGGAGAATAAAGAGTTGTTCAACATCACCATGTGTCTTCTTCATTCGCACACGAATGAAGTATACAACACTGGTGATGACGGTGGGATCCTTTGCAAGCTGAAACAAGCATTTTAAGGACTTACCTAGGAAGTCCTGAAGAGGGGAAGACAACATCTGAATCAGCGTCCCAGCCTGCCAGTATAGCATCGCTGGAGGGTATGCTTGGCTAAAGGACCTTTTCCCCAAACAGCAGTTTGCAGAGGAGCAAGTGGTGAATGTCGTAAGAGTATGATGGCGAAGATTGGCCGTTTGTCTGATTTTGATGTCTCACACCCAGAGAGATGGAATTCCTACGTAGCAAGGGTGGAGAATTACTTCAGAGTAAATCAGATTAGAGAACATGGCTTGAAGGCTGCAACTCTTTTGTGTGTCTGTGGACAGGAAGCTTTTGAAATCACAGAGAATCTGGTGGCCCCTGCACCTCTAGAGTCAGTAACATATACTGACTTGAAGAAACTGTTGAAGGAACATTTCCAGCCAAAGTTATCTGTTATTGCTTGGAGGC